TTTGAGTTTTCAAGAAAAAATGAATTCAAAGCAATTCCGTGTGCTGATTTATCATTGTTTTTTAATGAAAAAAAATACTGTTCAATGCCAGGAATGGCTTGAAAAACATTATTCGGACTCTGCTCTACAAAAAAGAAGCATTTGTTATTGGTATGCCGAATTCAAACGTGGTCGTACAGACACCGATGACATTCCATCTACTGGACGGCCAAATGACGCTGTTATTCCGGAAAACGTTGAAAAAATACTGAAAAGCAAAAACAACAACGAATCGATGATTCAAAGAGCTGTTTGGACATGTTTACGCGCAATAAGTCAGAGTTTTTGCGTCGGTACATCAACATGGATAAAACATGGATCCACCATTTCACTCCAGAGTCAAATCGGCAGTCTGCTGAGTGGCATGCAGCCGGTGAAAGCCGCCCAAAGCGACCAAGGAAGCAGCAGTTGGCTGGCAAGGTTATGGCGTCTGTATTTTGGGATGCGCATGGAATAATATTCATCGACTATCTCCAGAAGGGGAAGACCATCAACAGCGACTATTATACAGCGTTATTGGAGCGTTTGAAAGACGAAATCGCAAAGAAACGGCCTCATATGGCGAAGAAAACAGTTTTGTTCCACCAAGACAATGCACCGTGTCACAAGTCGATGAAAACGATGGCAAAATTGAACGAATTGAGCTACGAATTGCTGCCGCACCCACCGTATTCTCCACATCTGGCCCCCAGCGACTACTGGCTCTTCGCAGACCTCAAAAAGATGGTCCGTGGTAAGAGATTTGGCTCAAATGATGAAATAATCGCCGAAACTAACGTCTATTTTGAAGGCAAAGAAAAATTTTACAAAGGTGGTATCGAAAAATTGCAAAAGCGTTGGAATGATAGTATCTCCCGAAAAGGGGACTATGTTGATGAATAAAAACGAATTTTGGCAAAAAAATGTGTTTTAATTAGTCACACACATTATTAAACGAAGTGTTATAGTTGACCTTACTCAATGTTAAGGCCGCCTTTGATGACTATTGCATTCATATTCTTCTTTACACTTTTTGTTTTTTTTTTGTTTTGCTTCCCTTTATTATACAACTGCCAAGATTTAGCATTTAGTATACATTTTTACATAATGGAACTTGAAGTAATAATTCAAAAACAAGATTAAGAATTACATGAGTAAACTATTAATAGTGGATAAAAAGAAAAAGAAAACTTTTCTTTAAATTATATAAATTAAATATTATAAAATAATTAAAATTAATGGATAGATGATATAATAAATGAGTCAATTAAATAGACTGCTATGAATTTACTATGAATATATTAGTTAGATTATTATAGTATTGCTAGTTCTGATGGAAATAAGCGTTTCAATCTTCTGTTATGTGTGGCTTCGTCATTAGTTAGCTGTCTCATTGTTGGGTTAGGATGGAAAAGTAATCTGTCTGTGTGCTTTTTACTATTTTTTCGGATAACGTCTGCAACGAAGGGTATCTTTAGATCGCGATGAATGTCATAGTTTGAGATATACCATTCAGCGTTGATGATAGTCCTAAGTATTTTTGATTGTAGTCTTTGCAGTATTTGGATGTTGTATTTGCATGCTGTGCCCCATATTTCGGCTCCATATTTCCATATTGGAGCGATTACTGTTTTATATACTAGTAGTTTATTTTCCACTGTTAGTTTTGATTTCGAGCAGAGTAGCCAGTACAATTGTCCAAAGCGACGCTTAATTTCATTGCTTTTAGCTTTGATATGGTCTTTCCAAATTAATCTGCTATCTATAGTAATGCCAAGGTAATTTGCCTTTGTGTGTGTGAAGACTTCGTCGTTGTTAATTTGTATCGAACCATTCGAGCGTTGTGTTTAGGTAATTCTGCAAGTTGTCTGTGGATATGTTAAAATTTTTATTAGCTGCAATTAGTGCTGTATCGTCTGCAAAAGTTGCTATCAAACTTTGAGAATCAGAAGGTATCGGGACATCAGCCGTGTATAACAAGTAGAGTAATGGACCTAATACGCTTCCTTTGGGCACACCAGCTTTCATTTGTTTAAGTTCGGAGATTGAGTCTTTATACTTCACATAAAAGTATCTATTTTGTAGATAGCTCTTAAGTATGAGGTAAAAATTTGTTGGAAGAAGCTCTGATAGTTTAGTTAGTAGACCTCCATGCCAAACGCTGTCGAAAGCCTTTGCGACATCTAGATATACCGCCGAGGAAAATTGTTTTGTGTCAATATCACTAGTTATTTTATTAACAACTCTGTGAACTTGTTGTATAGTCGAATACTTTTTCTGAAAGCCGAATTGATGGTCAGGTATAAGTTTTTCTTTATGGAGAATCGGTTCTAGTCTTGATAAAATTATTTTTTCAAACAATTTTGACATAACTGGTAATAGGCTAACATAATTGGTCTGTTCGATTTTGTTACAGATATGCCCTTATTTGATTTAGGTATAGTGATCACTTCTGCTACTTTCCAAACTTTGGGAAAATACTTAAGGCGAAAAGCGCAATTAAACAGATTCTCATACATACAAGTGCTTGAAGAGGTAGCTCAGTCAGAATCTTTCCTGTGATACTATCATATCCCGGTGATTTTTTTTGCTTTAATTTTATTTTTAATAGTATTCTCAATCTCTGTTATTGAAACTTTCTTTATTGCGACATTTTGAGTAGAGCTGCTCCGTGTAACGTTGCTGTCATGCTGTTTTGGGTTACTAAACGTAGTTTCGAAGTACGTGGCAAAAAGTTCAGCTTTTTCGGTGTTGGTTCTAGGCCAAGTTCCATTTGCTTTCCTCAGTGGTGGTTGATGCATTATAGAGTTGTTGATATTTTTAGTAACTTTTCATAAAGAATAGTTAGTGGCTTTGTCAGCTGTCAAGTTCATTATGTGTTTTTGCAGGTTTTTATTTTTCTCATTAAGTAGCATAATTTTAAGGTCTTTGATTAATTTGTTTAAGTCCTTTTTTAGTTCAGGGGACCGATTTTTTTGCCATTGTTTTCTCAGTTTTCTTTTGTCCATTATCTTGCTTTTAACTGCCATCGAGATTTTATTTTGAGTGTCGTTTTGTTTAAGAACTGGGGTAGAATTTATCACGGCAACAGCGATCATTTCGTTTAAGTATACAATCGCGCTTTCAATTTCGTCTTCAGATTTTAAGGAAATATTTATTGTCAGATCGGTATTAAGAATATCTCTAAACGTGTCCCAACATGTTTTGTTATTATAGATTAATTTTGTCCTTGTGATGTTTAGTTTTGTGTCGCTTTCACATGATAGCATAATTGGAGAGTGATCAGATGATAAGTCAGGAAGTGTACTTACTGTAAGAAATCGTTTATTTATATTTTTGGTCTCGAAGAAGTCAATCACGTAGGTTCACCTGTGCTTAGAATGTCTGCTTTTTTGTCAATGATAGCATTATGTAAATTTTTCCCTTTGCAGTTTGTAATTCTTGAGCCCCACAAAGTATATTTTGCATTAAAGTCTCCACCAACAATGTACCGATTGCCGAGAGTGTTAAGGTAGTTCAGGTATACATCCTTCGAGTTATTGTGTTTCGGAGGGCACTAAATAGCTAATGCTGTTAACTCACCTTTTGTATCTTGAATATGGACACTTGTAGCTTGAATTTGTTCTGTTTGGTATATACTGGTTATTCGAGCATTGCATATTTTGCTTAATAATTACTGCTGTTCCACCATGGGCTTTGTTGTCGGCATGATTTGTATGATAATTAGTCGAATAGTTAGGGATTTTAATGAAACTTTTGTCTGTGAAGTGTGTCTCTGATACCAGTAGTACATCAATGGAATTGATATTTAAGTATGTTCTCAGTTCTAGTAGTTGTTTGCTGAGACCGTTTGCATTCCAAGTTAAAATTTTTAATTTATTTCTATCCACCGAGTTTGGTGATTAGGATGGTTAAAATATGTATAACGTTGGCAACTTGCGTCATAAGCTGTTTCATCATTTGCTGGAGTTCGTCAAATTCGGAGTTGTTTGATTCATTGTTTATTGGAATGGGTTGAGTTGGATGCGATTTTATTATTTCGGCATATGTTTTAGCTGGTTGGTTTTATTGGGTTTGTTGGGTGGTAGTTATTAGGTTCGTAACAGCTTTAGTTGGCAGAGATATTTCGTTATTTTGAGATGTGGTTTTTTGTTGTTTTGCGCGAAGAGCTGGGAATCTTTTGATTTGAAGAGTTTTATAGACTGTAAATCCTTTGTAGTTTGCAGTGTGATTCTCTTTACAGAGTGCGCATTTAACGACGTTGTTCCTACCTTTCATGGGACAGTCAATTGTTTTATGTCCTTCGGAGCATTTAACACAGATTGGACTTCTTGTACAAAAATTTTTTGTGTATTCATACTTTTGACAGTTGGTACATTGTGGTATTGTTCTTTTTGGATGGGGAGGTTCAAAATTTATTTTGCAGTGCAGTAGGTCTTTGATATTATGAATTTCCTTGTTATTTACATCTTGTTTAATTTCGATTGTAAATAGGTTTTATGGAGATTTTGTGCGCGGATGTAATATGTTTTTTATATTGCATACTTCATGTCCTAGTTCAGCTAGCTCTAATATAATTTCATTTTTGTTAGCGGAGTGGTGCATACCGCGTAGGAAGATCTTAAACCCCCTTTCTTCTTTTGGCTTATACGTGTAGTTTTTTCTTTAAGAAATTTTACTATGCTAGTGTGATCTGTTGATTCGTACGGCTGAATTTTTATTTCATTGTTTTGTAAAACACGAATTTCATATTTAGTTATTTGTAGAGCATCTAACGTTTTAATTAGGTTGTCTAGCAGCTGTACTTTTTGCATGTAAATGGGTAGTGGTCTTTTATTTATCATTATCAGTTGCTAGGACAGCAAACCTATTTGTAGCTAAGAAATACTCGTTTAATGTGTACTGTTTTTTGTTTTGTTTGTGCTCTTTGGCGCTTATTTCATTGATTTGCTTACCAGGGGAGCTACGAATTCTCTTATTCACTACTGGCGTGTTGAAGCCATTGTTTTTGTTTGTGGTTGCATCTTCAGTTGTGTTTGCAGTTCTGGTGTTAATAATGCAGTTTCTGGTGAGTTTTCCAAATTCTGAATGAGTTTTGATGGTGAATTGTGTTGATGATGGTTTGATTGTTGGAGTTTTATGTGGTACTCTTGCTGCATTTGTTGTTTCTCTATTTGCTGGTTCTGTTGTGGTTGTTTGTGTTGGGTTTGCAGTGGTTTTTCTTGCAGTTGTAGCTGTTAATTTGATTGTAGAAGTATTGTTTGATTATTATTATTGGATGCTTTTGAGCATAGGACAACTTGTTGGTGTGTTTTATGCTGTTGTTGTTGTTCTTGTTGTGATTGTTGCTCGTGATTTGACTCGCCTCCACCTTTTGGTGGAGTTTGATTGACCGGCATTACGATAAATTAAGCGATTACTAAAATAGAATATAAAATTTGAAAATAAAGTTTACTATTATGAACAGTTTGAGGATGACTGATCTTGTGTTATAACTGTTGTGAGTTAAATATTTATTTTATTTAATTTCACGGGTTTTGGCAGTTTTTCTGTATGGTAGTGTGTACGATCTTAGGTGATCGTACATTTTTCCTAAAAATAGGCAAGGTTATTTGCATCTGGGCAGTTGTTGACTAAAACCAAAGCATCAGACCGTCAGTTCGACGATAAGAAATGCTGAGTTTTGGTATTTGGTTAATAATTGGTGTCACGATGTAAGTGACTTTGAAAATGTAAATACGGAAGAATTGCAAAAATATGTAGAGCATTCTTATTAATAATAAAAACTTTGCAAATTTAGCAAAGTAAATTATGAAACTATGGAAAAACCCAATTAGGTAACTAGGGTAATTTGAAGGTCATATATTGGATTTTTGCATCAAGTTTGGGTATGTAAGATAGATTTAAAACCACAAAAGAGGAGTCAAAGTTGGGAGTCAAAGTGAAGAGTTAGAGTTGAGAGTTAAAGTTGTGAAGTTAGAAATAAAAAAGTGGTTAAGCGAAGTAGTGTTTAAAAAATATATAATGTACATTTAGACAAACAAAAAAAGATCAAGCGTAGTAGCGCTGACGAATAATTTTAAAACAAATAAGTCGTGTGTGACTGAAATTAAAAAGAAAACCCAAAAAAAAATATAAATTGTAACAATTTAAAGAAAATAAATAAAATTAATAAAAAATAATTGTGAAACTAAACTCAAGTGTTTTTATAATAGCTAAGGACATTTAAAAATAGCTATAAACATTTATGTAAAAAAATGCAACTGAAATTAAATAAAAAATAACATTTAGTCCAAAATTTGAAGTAAAGGATTCAACATTTGGCACACTCACGTTTTCCATGAGAACCACAACATAACACTTTTAATATAATCGTTTGTGTACACACTAATCAAAGAATAGGTTGTATATGCTATTGTTGTTTAATTACTATAAACAGCTTTTTCAGCAATAAAATAATATATAATAATAGCTGTCTCTATCAGCACTTTTTGTTTTGTTTATATATACACAAAACCGCACTGTTCTTTTGTTTGAATGCTTATTCACTTTTGATTATAAGCTTTAGAAATTAATCTGGTGTCTCTGTCAGCTGTTTGAATTTTTTAATAAAGTTGTGCAAAAAGAAAGAAAGTCATCAAAAATCAAAAAAGCGCGCGCTATTTTCAAATTAATATTTTATGCACTTTAAACTTTTACTAATTGTTTTTTGCCCAAAAATGATCTATTTTTGTGAATTTGTATTAATAACAAAAGTGATATTTATAAGAATACCTCTTATTTACTTGTTTTTATACTGTAATTTAAATTTCTTCGAGACCGGTTAAAAAACACATCCGCTCACTACGAAACTTTGACTAGGTCGTTGACGTTAATATTTCCAAATTCGAGTTCGGTGTCGATGAATTGCAGTTCTTAGGTTATCATTTGTCAGCAAATGGCATGAATCCCTCAAATTCGTCAATTCCTTAGAGTTATCAATTATTATCGTAAGTACATTTCATGAGCAGCACAGTTACAAATACCCCTATGCAGCCTACTGAGAGAATCCAAGAAGAGAGATAAGACAGAAATAGTCTGGACAGCAAAACTTAGCACATCGTTTGAAAGCTGTGAGTCGGGTATATCAACGTTAACTCAACTAGTATTCTTATAACCAACAGCCACTCTTCGTCTTTCAACCGATGCTTTCAGCACTGCAATAGTATCAGTTCTATATCAGCGAAACAATGACCAGTGGAAACAAGTAGCCTTCCTCTCCACCAAGCTTAAATCGGCAGAAGTAAGTTACAATACCTATGACTGAGAACTCCTAGCAGTTTACGCATATATAAAACATTTTCATAATCTGCTTGAAAGGCTTCAATTCGTCATCCGCATGACCATAAGCCTTTGACGTTCGCTTTTCAGCAGAAAGCCAACAAGGTATCTCCTCGCCAATTACGCGATCTGAGCTACATAGCAGAATTCACGACCGAGATGGTACATGTATCAGGTGAAGACAACATTATTGCGGACACACACGCGGATCAACTCGATAGCTATGCCAGAAACTTGCAGCCTAGAGCGGATAAGCAAGCACCAGAAAGATGATGAAGAGCTTAAACAGTTCTTGTCCACAAGCACGAAATTGCAACTGAAGAACTTGCAGTTGCAATCGAACTTGGAGACATACTATGATGTCACGACGGGCCAGTTGAGACCATTTATACCCAAATCATTACGCAAAGAGGTATTCAACTTAGTGCATTCTTTGGGGCATACAGGTTCCAGGTCCACAGCGCGACAACTAACATCAAAATACGTGTGGCCATCAATGCGAAAGGACATAAAAACATGGGTTCAAGAGTATCAAGTTTGTCAGCAATCCAAAGTCAATAGGCACAACAGAATGAAGCCAAGCGAATTTACAAAAACTGATCAGCGATTCGATCATGTCCACCTGGATTTAATCACATTACCAAAATGTCGGGGTTATAGGTACGCATTAACCATGATTGACAGGTTTAGCCGATGGCCAGAAGTGACACCATTAAAAGACATGACCGCAGATACAGTAGCAGTAAATTGTAATTTGTATCCTGGTTTGGCGCGCCGAAAGTAATAACAACAGACCAGGTAACACAATACGAAGGAGATCTGTTTCAAGCTTTGACTGAACTGTTAGGAACCAAACTAATCCGCACTACGCCTTATCATCCAGCAGCGAATGGCACGGTAGAGTGATTCCATCGAACGCTAAAAGCAGCACTAAAGGCAAGACCGAAACATACATGGCTTCAATTACTCCCATCAGTTTTTTAGGGCCACGAATATCAGTGAAGGAATACATAGGAGTATCTGCGGCAGAGATGATGTATGGTATCAACCTCCGTCTGTCTGGTGAATTCTTTGAACATTAACTCAATCATCTTCGTCAAGGCTTTCTAATCAATCAAATTTCCTAAACAAATTTGGTGAATATTTGCGTGAAATACGACCAACGCCAGCAACACATCATAGCAACAGACCGATTTTCATACACAAAGAACTCAACAATTACTCACACGTTTTCCTGCGTTCAGATCACATCAGAAGACCACTACAACCACCATATACAGGACCGTATAAAGTCTTGAACAAAATAAGTGAACGACTGTTCACAATTGAAGTAGGTGACAAAAAGTTGAACGTTTCAATCGAAAGATTAAAGCCAGCATTCCTGGAGAATACAGATGTTCCATCAGAACCGAAGTTATTAGAAATTTTGTTAAACATTCCTAGACCAAAGCATAACACACCACCAGTAAAAGGTACGAAAAAAGGTCACCTTGAGCAACAGTCCATTGCAGTCTGGCGCCATAAACAAAAAGAAGATCACATTGGAATTAGCAACTCACGTACATATTTATAAGAATATCTTATAATCATTATGTAAAATTAAAATATTTCAATATTAATAAAATACTTTTTTATTAAATTTTATATAAAAATATTTCTATTTAAAAAAAACTCATATAAATCTAACAACGAATGCGCATACACCTACTCTCATCAATAGATTTTTCACTACTGATCATAGAAAAATGTATGCAAACTAATAACACGCGTTATTCATCACACATATATGAAGCGAATGCACGTACACCCTTCCTTATCAATAGATTTCTCAGCACTAAGTTTGAAAAATTTGTCTATACAAAGAAATGCAATTCATCATTCACCAATCGAGTGTTGCCGTATAAATAAGGAAATTGGTAGTAGTTTCGGTATTTCTTATTAATTTCACATCATAACAGCATTTAATAATAATATTTTAAAATTAATTTAGAAATAATGTCCTACACGCTCAAAATATATTGAAGAAAACATAATTCATTTTTTGTTTTTTTCTTATATAAATAAAAATTCGCTTCAAGAAAAGTTTTGTTACCAAACATAATACAATATATTAAAATACCATAAAATTCATATGAAGAAAGCAATAAAAATTAAGAATTTACTGAATATATATTACATGAATAAGCAAAGTAAACTGATTTAAATGATTAAATATTAATTTATTTATTTACTTATCATATATTACTTGTTACAATATATACATTTTCTGAATATCTGAATCTCTTTGCTCTCTGAGAATAACGTAAGAAATTTTTGCCGAAAATTCATTTTTATAACATTTTGGTCACACGTATTCTATGCATGTTATTTCACCGAGCTTACGTCAAATTTTGCTCTTTTAGGGCTGCAGTATTATTTTTTATTGCATACATTTTACAAAAGGATTATTACTATTTTTTGTTTTAGTATAATAAATATGTTTAGTAATATTAATGAAGAAAACTGGTTAAAATAAAATTTATGTTAATCTATAAATTAAATCTATTTATAAAATTATATAAATCTATACTTCACAATAAAATATGTGTGATAGATTCGAGTACATTAAAAGCAGTTTGTAAATTTATAAGTGATAAAAAAAAAAGCATTTGAGGCAATAACCATATTTTATAATATATTTTATTATAATCCATCTTTAGTTTTGTGTTATTGTTCTGTTTTAGTTGCTAAATACTCAAAGATTTAAATAATTTTAATTATTTAAATAATTTCCACATAGTACCGCCATTCACAAAAAGAATTAATATAGAAAAAGTAAATGTTTATAATATGTTTACTGTTTTGTTAAATATTTTTTAATTTAATTTAAAATAATTTTGGAATAAATAAATGCAATAAAAAAAGTGTATACAATTTTAATTGAAAATATTCAAAAAATTTTACTACTAATTTTATTTAGCACATCGAAATACGAAGTGTGGTGAAAGGGGTTTTATAATTGATCATAGTGAATTTTTAGTCAGTATTGGCAGAGGAGTTGCCGGAGACAATTGACAGTGGTGGTTGTGTGGATTTTTTTTTTAAATAATTTGAACTGAACAAATTAGGAAAATTTCTGTGCTCGAATTAAAACGAATAAATTATAAAAATTATTCGTAATTTAAATCACTTGCGTAAAATAATATTGACTCTTAAATTGTATCTTTAAAAGATTTTCCCTATATGCAGAAATGGCCCATAATGTTATAGTTTTATAATTCATCATCATTAATGCAAATTTATTTAAAAATAAAACATTTGCTTAACTTTTTAACATATGTATTTATTAAAGGCATTTGTTTAAAACAATATATTTTATTTGTGTACATAATGAATAATATTTATATAACATAAATTAAGTCTTTTTTGAATAATAAACTAAAAGTATGTTGAATATATTATTAAAATCTGGGACTAGATAATTGTACTGGCTAATTATATATATTATATAGTATATTTACATTTATTAAAATTTAAAAACAAAATTAGAATATGAACAACATTTGAATATGAATATTTCAACAAAAAAATATGGTTTACATGCTCCTCTTTTTACCACCAAAAAAAGTATACAATTTTTAATTTTTCTTATTCTTATCCGATTTTTCACATATACAACAAACACAAATTAACTCATAAGAAAACTTTATTAAGATATATATATATTCTCACATATATTTTTGCTTTACTAATTTCTATTTATACACCTAATAACAAACAAATTATATTTATTTAACATAAAACATATATTTTAAATCCACAATTATTGATTTTGTACCTCCTTGTATAATTTTTAGGAAATTCATACATTCCCTTAAATATCTTACATCCCATTACGCAATTCTGCACCATCTTCAAATATTATTAACTGAAATAATAATTGTAATTAATAAAAGTAATTATTTTTTCAAAGGAACTTATTCACTACCTTTTATAACTTCGTTTGATTTGAGTACTTTTCTCAGTTTTTGGCGCGCATTTCTTTTGTCGAAAAACCAAAACAAAACCCAATTGCGCTCTTCATATCGTTCTCTCGTAGTATAAAAAATTGAAGACCGTTCGTGGTGGTGAAACGTTCCGTTTGGCATGGTGAAACTTTTCACTCGTGGTGGGTCGACTTGCAACAACAAAACAACATGCTTGGTTTGGTAGTAGTAAATTATTTTGAGAGTGCATTGGTCGGTATTTTTGTTTACATTTAAGTTGCCGTTCCTGTACAAGTATTCTTTGCTCTGACGTGCTGACTTAAAAAAGAGTTTCTTGTTATATGTTTTTTTAAACTTTGTTATAAATGCAGGTTATTTTTAAGTTTGTTAGAAGATCATACATTAAGTTATGTAAAACGTGTGAAACAACGAGGTCGATATGTGTGTTGGGCATTGAGACTTCATGTGATGACACAGGAATTGCAATTGTAAATTCCGACAGAAAGGTTTTAGCAAATGTAGTGTATTCGCAGCAATATATTCATTCTAGGTAACAATATTATGTGTAGTAACAGTATCATATAGAGAGTAAATGGGGCATTGAACATTACTGTAGTAATATATATATGCATCACTATTGTAAAAATATTTTCCACTAAATTTGAAGTCTATCACATCTACTTGCAGATATGGTGGAATAACTCCTCCTCGAGCGCAGGACTTACATCGTCAACAGATTAGTAACGCTTTTCAGCATTGTATGACAGAAGCCGGCATTGTTCCGCACAAAATAGACGCCATTGCAGTCACAAATAAACCTGGTAACTTCTTATATACATATATGAATCCCATAAATTTAGCCACACAGTCAATGATTTTGTCAAAAAGGTTTACCACTTAGTTTAATTGTTGGTGTTCGCTTTGCAAAATATTTGGCTCGTACGTATTCCAAACCGTTGGTTACCATTCATCATATGGAAGCTCATGCCCTACAAGCTCGAATGGAGCATACTATACCGTATCCTTTTCTTTGTCTACTTATAAGTGGAGGTCATTGTCAACTAACATATATTAAAGCTCCAAATGAATTTTCGCTTCTGGGGGAAAGTTTGGATGATGCTCCTGGTGAAGCTTTCGATAAAATAGCTCGTCGTTTACGTCTGTATGTTATACCAAAGTATCGCAATTTTAGTGGTGGCCAAGCTGTGGAAGACGCTGCTCGGAGTGCAACAAATCCCGAGATTTTTGAATTTCCTTTGCCTCTTACGAATAAGAGAAATTGTAATTTTAGCTTTGCTGGTATAAAAAATAACTCATTTCGATTAATTAAAGCTGCTGAAGAAATACAGTGTAAATATATATGTAATGAAGTTTTATTAACAAATTTATCTTTAATTATATATTTATCAAGGCACTGCTCCTGACAATATCATTAACAATTATAATAACTTTTGCGCTGGACTCTTGAAAGCGTGTAGCCGTCATTTAATGAATCGAACACAACGTGCAATTGAGTATTGTATATCTAAAAATTTTTTTCAGAATTCTGTGCCGCGTTTAGTGGTTTCTGGCGGTGTTGCTAATAATGACTATATTTTCGATGATTTAAAATACTTGACAGAGCAGTACAGTTGCCAAATATTCAGACCGTCCAAAAAATTTTGTTCAGATAATGGTGTCATGATTGCTTGGAATGGTGTTGAACAAATATTAGCTAATAGACACTGCCTTAACTGGGACTACGATGAAATCGACATAATTGGTAAAGCACCTCTAGGATGCAGACTAATACACGAGGTTGAACGAGCCAATATTAAATGCAAATGGGTTCAGCAAAGAAAGTAGCAACTGGATCGATATTTTGATAAAAATTTATTTTTAAAGATTTAGTAGATTTTATTTTTTAAATACCTATGTAGCAAGTGTTATTTCATATATATATATAGACATATTGTGCAAATCTATTTTTGTCGAATCGATTTTGATTACGAAATAGATGATTATGATCTGCATTTTAATGTCATTGTCGGTTCTGGTGTCATTGAATTTGCTTCATTGGAAACAAATCATCATCTTTTTGCGGTTTTCATTGTGTCGCATAAATGCAGTGTATTTTAAAAATTTATAAAATATAGGTCAAGTTAATAAATTTAATATTCAAAATATGAATATTTAATTTATTTAATATAATTTATGAAGAGGAAAACTCAACAATATAACCTTAATTGAAATTCTTTAATTTATCAAAAAATATGAGAACAAACTGCTAGAAAATTTTCTAAAGAAAAACGATAGATGCTTTGTAGCCATTTTCCACGACCCGCAGTACAGTGCCATAAAACAGTCCGTGTTGACTTGGAGAATGTATAATATATAGGATTATCAGTCCAAAATAGAAATCTATAACAAATCACAGCAAACAGTTTGTAAATAAAAAAAATTGCAGTAATTGTAATTAATTAACAATATATTGGATGACAGTCATTAAAATCAACAAGGCGCATTAGATAATTTTTCCTTCGAAAGATTATTATCCACTGATCGTTAAATTGATCCCTTAACAAAAAAATTTGAAATCTTCAACTAATAAGACCGATTTTATAAAGCCATCCATATTTAATAAGCTATAAATTCGAACAGCAAACAAATTCAGACCTATTCTGAATCGCATGGAAATGGGAGTTTGTTCGCTGTTCCCAAGTTTGCTATTCTAAATAATTTGGGAATGGGAGTTTTGTTCCCAATTTTGCTATTCTGAATCGCATTGGAATGGGAGTTTTCTCCCAATTTTGCACAAATTCTTTCCCAAGCAAATTGTTGGGGAGACAAGTTAAAAAATTATTAAAAATGGTTTGATTTAATATAAAAGTAACTAAAAATGATCAGAATTTTGAATATATTTTAATAAAATTATCATTATAATATAATTATTACAATAAATTTAATATTTTCAAAGTTTTATTTTTTTATTTTATCCACAAGAGTTGATTAGTTTTCCAAATATATTTTAATAAAATTGTTTTAATAAATTTAATATAACTAAATTTTCATTTAATATATTTTATTAAAATTATTATTTTAATAAAAGTATAACAAATTTGAAATATTTGAATTTTTATTTATTTATTTATTCACACGGGTTTTTTCCACTAACACAGGTCAACAAAAAAAATTTTTTTTTTTCCTAGATATGTTGTTGGGTGATCCTAGAGGTATTTTGCGTGCTGATTCCAAATTTGGACTTAGATTTTTTCTATCACGTCTAGTTTTCTTTAGACAACCGGATTAACGGGTGATTCAAGGGGTTTCAGCAAATAAATCGTGAATTTAAAAAATGGTACTTACTTATGTTTTTTTCGCATATTGAGCATCTGGTAAGTCCCTTTTTAGTGTCCAGCAGTAATCTGCTAACATGTTAGTGAAATTTCCTTTGTAGCGTTTTTCCATGTGTAAAATATCCTGGTGAAAACGCTCACCATGTTCATCACTAACGGCGCCAAGATTTGGTGGAAAAAAGTCCAGGTGAGAGTGTAGAAAGTGAAGTTTTAAAGACATATTGCAGCCCATTTTTTGGTATGAATCAATTAGATTAGCCACCAGATCGCGATAATTTTCAGCCAACATATTTCCTAAAAAATGCTCAACTACATTTTTGAATGAGTTCCACGCGATAATACTCAACGCTTAATCCAATCTTTCATACACTTTTCAAAGGCCCGTGAAGGTATGGCTTTTAGTTCCTTCGGCGAATTTTCTTTTACCGATTCAATCGACTCAAAAAGCTTACCACGAAGGGGCAATTTGAGTTTCGGAAACAGAAAAAACTCGCACGGATCTAGATCTGGCGAATATGGTGCCTGAGCGATGACAGTGGTGCCGTGTTTGGTCAAAAAATCGCGTACAACAAGAATTTTCCATAGTAAAAATCGCTAAATGCACTTGAGGTAGTCTCACATTAACAGCTGCTGTAAACAAACTAATTGTCAGATGGCGTTGAAATTTGTATTATATGTCAAGAAAGGATGTACCAACATAACAAAAAAAAATTTTTAAAAAAGGTCTATTACTTAAAAAGTAGTTAACAAACAACAAAATCCGGATACTTTTTGAGCAGTAGGTAAATTACGACTTTATAGCAAAAATATACATTCAACAGTTTTGAAGAATTTAGACATGATAGAAAGAATCTAAATACAGATTCGGAATCAGCACGAAAAATACGTCTAGGATCTCTTAACAACGTCTCTAGGACAAAATCTTTGTTGACCAGTGTAATTAAAGTGTTAACTATTGTTTTTAAAACAATAGAAAAATGAAAGGAGACCAAATTCTGAAATGAATGGGATTCCAAGAATAAGTTAAAATAAACTTTTGCAATCATGTGCAGGTAAAACATTGCTTCTTTTTTATTGTAAGATCTTCACAGGTATAAACTATTATTAGTTCATTAATTGAAGCATGAAGGACATTTCTATCCTAATTATATAAAAAAATTAAATTATAATTTACGCAAATTTTGTATAAAACCAGTGAATGTTTGAAAATAAAGACATTGAAAAATTGATATCATAACATAAGGTTTTTTTTAATTAGTTAAAAAAGAGTTAAAAATTTAGAAAAGAGTTAAATTTAACATTTAAGTAACCAATAATAATAAATTTTTCGAATATATTTAACTGTGATATTTAATGTCTGATGTCTGATAAGCTCCTTCAGCAAAGAAATGCAAACAACCGCTCAATTTCACAATTGGAACAACTGCAAACTGCTTCTTTGCTGGTTGTAGTTCCTCACTAAGTTCCTCTAACAGGTAAATAAATGCTGGTTTATTTACTTTATAATATTTTTGAAATCTATAATGAAAAAAACGTTTATTTTAAAACCAAATTAAATTTACATTTGTACTTACAAGAAATCACTCAAGTGGATTTGCAGCGTCTCGCAAGTTTCTGCAATTGATCCTCTGTTGCAAAATTTCTTGCTCCTGCTCCTGAATGCATTTTTGAAAACTTTTTTAAAATTGTTTATTTTTTAATTTTTTTTTATTTATATATTTATTTTACTCATTAAAATAAATGTTTTTTATTATTTACTATTTACTCATAAAATAACTTATATTTATTTCCGATAATTTGTGCAGCAAACAAATATTTTTACATTTAAATTTTTACATTTAAATCAATATATGATACGCAATTCTTTTCTTTGTTTTGCTCATTTTCGCACTTTTCGTCATTAAAAAGTGGCATGGTTGCCAAAATTTAACAAAGCAAATTTGAAACTGTTGTTGTTCCCAAAACTGCTGTATTCCAAGCAATTTAGAATCAGGCGACATATATGTTATCGAAAAGAGGTCAACATTACACAACAAAGTACAATTCGTCCTTCGAATTTCACGATTTTTGTAGATATGCCGCACTGAAAGCAATTGAATCTAAATTCCAAGATAGTATTAAAATGTCGCGATTCACTGATGAGCATCCAACATCATAAGGTCTCTCTTTGTGGGACATAGTACATTTCGGATACTTGGACATAGCAATATTGAACGGAATGAACTAGCAGATGGGATGGCCTAGCAGATGAGATGGCCAAGAAAGGTTCTGAACTGCATACAGGAGAGGTCGACCTCTCAATACATACACCGATATGTAAACTGTTTAATATAATAGAGGGAATCAATACGGTGACTAACAATTTATAAACTAGCCGCGAAGACTAATCTTATGCCCTAAGTTGGACAAAAATAAAACGAAAAGCCTTTAAGGCTTCAGCAAACCTGCAGTTCGTGTGCAGGGGCACTGTGCCATTGCGCTTATGCTCCAACGGTGGCGAGTTCCAACAAGTGGATTATATAGGAGTTGCCAAGACGAAGAGGAGGTAAAATCTAACAACCACTTCCTATGTCTCTGTCCACGACTTCAAACATGTCTACTTTGATGTCTTGGGGATCCTTATTTTACTGGCTTGGAAAAGATAACGAAAGCAAACTTATCGGATCTCCTCAACTTCATCTGGAAAACCAAATGGTTTAACAAGGATAACAATGGTTAGCAACTCGCATCTCCTGGTAAAATTTTTTAAGGGCATTCCAATGGGCAATATATGTCTCCGAGTAGAAGTGCTGACAACTGTCAGTACGTGCCTTCCGAACATAACCTAACCTAGTGTGGGTTAAAATGTTCACACATATGCTCACTATAAAAATGTATATATCTCGTACAAATCATCCGAGTTATATGTAAATTGATCTCTTCAAATAAATATTTTTAGTAAGTACATGATTTTCGCCATCCATTGAGAATCTTAGATGGCACCTGGGCACCACAGCTAACCATACCTACAACTACAAAATATGTATAGCGTAGCGATCCGAAACCTTGCATTTGTCAAGGGCGGAAACTAAACTAAACGTTCTGTCTGCGTTATCCCAATTTTTTTGAACTGTGACTAAAGATTCAGCTTCCATTTTGAGACAAATTTCTTCATCGAATTTATTCCAATTAAAATCAATGCAATTTTTAGCCGCTTTTGCTTCGTTTGCTAAAAGGATATTAATTTCAGTCATACTCCCTGTACGACCATTTTCTCTTTGCTTACGAAAAAAATCTTGTTTTGACTACATTTTCAATTCTACTTAAATATCTATATAAATTATTAAGTAAAAATGTATTATTTTTATTTTTTATTTATGTTTCTTCCGTTTCTTGTAAACATTTGTGATTGCATTGTGCATGCAATCTAAAAGGTATGAAATAGAAAACAAAGCATAGTCGCTGAACTAATTATTGTGTTTTGCGCATAATTTTTAACCGATTTTGCTCATCAGTATCTTATTAAAAAGGTATTTTAATTATCTATCAAATGAGTACATATTAATAACTGTTAAAACAAGTAACAAAGATAAAAAAATGACCTTGAATTTAAAAATTTCTGTTTTCTGTACTGAAAACTCAACTTTGCTCGAGTGGCGCAACGTCATTTTTAATCCTATTGCTCCAAAACTTTGGGAATATCATTTTTTTGGTCAATGGCATATTCCTAGGGGGTGCGCTCATTCAAAACTTCATTTTTAATTTTCCCCCCTATAACGTGAGCCACCCTAACGGAGCATGTATAAAATCACTTACTGCATGTACTATAGAACCGATATATGACTATAAAGATTGCCTACACCGCATGATTCGTAGACTTAAAGCACAGAATGTTATTTACGAACTTGCGAGAAATGTCCTGGTACTGTAAATATCAATCAACAACTTCTGAACACCTTTGATGACAACAACATTGAATCTGTTACATATAATTAATGGGTTCGTCAAGCTAGAACCACATTAAAGCTTTCACATTTCCAGTTGAAAAATATCTGCAATCCTTAACGAGCAGTTTAGACAAATTGCTGTTGTATTCCTTTATCGTTAAAAACAAGTGAGCAGAAAGTGAATACATTCTTTTGTGTGATTTCTCTAAATATTATGTTTTTCCGATTCAATATTCTGTACAAGACATTAAGTGGTATAATGATCAGGCAAAAATTTATTCGTTTGCAATATACTATCGTGATGAAAATAAAAAACTACTATAATATATTCGATCGTGGCAACATTGTATGAAGAAAAGGTAAAAAAAAAATACGTGTGTGTGTAATGTGTACGCGATAGTTATATTGGCAAAGCATATTATTAATACAATAATAAGTGATTATATATTTCAATGCGCAGTGTAAATACAAATATACTAATTGTTTTCAAGCGCATTGCATTGTTTACAAACAAATGCATAAGTCCACA